GGAACGACACCAAACCTGCTGGACTGGAAAGATAGGCACGGTGCAATTTCTTCAGACAACGGTAACACTCGCGTTGGATGTCGTTGATCTCTTGGCTTAGCAGGTACTCTGCATGAGAAAATGAGATTCTGAAGTCGCACTCGGGAATTTCACTGTACCTTGGAGATTTGACAACTAGGTGGTAGCCTTCGTCAGTGATCTTAGTCACCAATTCGACGGAAGGCCATTTCCGCTCTCTTTCGAGCCAATCTCGTGAAGCCTTCGGCCATCCTCGGGATCTTAAAGCAGGCACGAGATCAATTCCCCTCTTACGCGTGATAGAGTCTTTCTCTTCGATACGATGTTCCTTGTTTCCACTTTCTTCCCCAATCAAATGGTTGAGCCATCGTTTGAGATGAAATTTCTCTCTTTCTCCAGATTCCACCTCATGTTTGGCTCTGTCACTTACTGTTGCATCTTTTGAGGTCGGTCCTTCTTTTTCACCGCAGTTCTTCAATTGTGGTTTGGATTCCTTTTGAACCGCTCCGCCAACTTGTTTTGAGGTCTTTTCGATTGTTTCTCGCGCACCTTCCCTGTCGTTTTGCTGTTCAGTCACTGACTCGTATGGGATTCGTGTATTGTCAATCTCATCAGAAGAGGTGGACTCCAAGTCTTGATTGCCAGGCGTCTGAGCGTCGCTACGATTTTGTGCCGCGACACTGGGGCCAAAATGGGCAGGTTCTGAATTTCTTTCAACTTCGTTAGTGTGACACTTTTGTTGCGTGACACCGGTCTCCTCGTGACAGATCGCTTCCGCCCGACTTCCACATTCGTTTTGTTTTCGACTTTCAATAGCTTGAACTCGGGTTATGAAGCTTTGCACCTTATCGCTTGATATAAATTCTTGAAAGTGGGTGGGTAGTCCACGGATAAATCCATCTGGGCCACTTTCAATCAGCGAAGCCTGTGATTCACCCACACAGCGAAGTAAATCTTCAATAACAGAAGCGTGTTCTCGTGTGTAATCAATTCCATTTGCATTGAACATCGAGCTAGCCAGCCCTTCCCAATCGGCCAATTCGCAGCTACAACCCCTCTTTGACTCAGTCATGTTTTGCAGTTGTTGGAGGGTCGTTCCAAACCACTGCTTGGAATCAATCGTAAACGCCGGGCCTACTTCCTTGTTCTTCCAATCGTAGACATACGGAAGAGAGGGCGAACAATGATCGGTGGAGACTATGCTTAAGGTATATTTCAAATAATCGAGCCATTCGGACGATTTGTTCCCATAAATCGCAGAATCGAAGTTCTTCAGCGCTGAAGTGGCCAGGTATTCTGTACCTTCTACAAGGCACGACTGAAACACGGAATGGTCGCTTGCTCTGATCCTTACATAGAGGGGGTTTTCTGGTAAATATTCGAGCATGTCTTCGTGAATGATGAAGCTATCTGTGGTTGGGAATACCATAATGTCCATATCTCCATAATTTTCTGGCGATAAGCACTTCAAATCTTCCGCTGCACTGCCATAGGGTCGGACTGCAAGTTTTTTTTCGGTAAATTTAGTCGAGGCCTCCGTGAGCTTCGCCAAAAGAAAGCTGAGATATTTTTCGTCGTACTCTTTAACTAACTCTGCTTCTCTTCCTCGCTCCCCAAGACACTTAAACACGAGGTTCAGTTCCTCTTCATTAGCACAGGGTCTCGACACAGCCATTATTACTCGAAACAAAAGCGAACAAAGGCACGTAAAATAATTCAATCAGGTCCAAAGCATTTTCAGTTTCGAAGGTGAGTAATTCTCTCACCCAGGCCAACCTCTTTCGGCCAAAATAAGGAGGGAAAGCGGGTGAGGGAGGGGGAGGGGGGAAGGGGGCAGGACGTCGAAAAGTTTGGTTTTGCGAATTTGGCTATATTTGAAGTCGGTTTTCACGCTATCAATGCCAAACTGTTTGGACTTTTCGGCTTTCCCCTTTTAATAGCATTCAGTGTCCAATTTGCAGCCAGTATTTAGAGGCCAGCTGGAAATATTAGAATGAACTCTGGAATGGACTCGGGACTGGTGTCTAGAAATACTATCGAGAGCATTATATAGGTTGTTTCTTTAGTCAAATTAAGGAAAATTTATGCAACCAAAGTCAATCAAAACAGGAAAAATACATAACAGCCACTGAGGCACATAGGACGAGTTCCAATAGCAAAAACGCATACATGCTTGAAATCTGTAACAAACGCGAAAACCATGCAAACGGAATCGAGCGCCGCCTTAAAGTACTTGGCAACAGTTGTCAAGTACACATTTTTAAAAAAAAATCATAAAACAGTTTATGGTCAGTTAAAAAGCGAAAAAACGTTTTATCATAAAGAAAAACGCATACTTGTTTTTGTCTCGTTAGTGGGTACATCGCATTATGTAGGAAATTCCAGCGCGTTTTTCTTTAGGCAGTCAATTAAAAGGGAGTAACTCTAAAAGCGAAGTGGGTTATATTCCTCGGTTAATAGTTCAGTTCAGTCTAAAGGTATAGCATCCACAGCCTGGGTCGTCTGCACATGCGCTGGTTGAGGTGGCACGGGGTCAACACCATTGAGGAACATGCGTATGACCTTAACTAATCCACCAGCTGGAAGGATGTTGCTTAGGTCAAAACGATCCTCATTGGATGGATCCAGCATTCGGTTGGCTATGGCTTTTTCGTTCCCTGACGCCAGGTCTTCCTGCCTCAAAAGGTACTTCCACATCTCGACATCACCGCGGATTGCATCAAGCATTCGGCGCCTCATTTCCAGCTCGGTACTGAGGCAGATCCTGAAATAAGCATTGGACCAGCCGTTTCTCAACATTTGAAGGAAATTTTCAGTCTGAAAATCATGGCTTTGCATCATTTCTCTGAGATCTTTTACCAGGGATCTTTCAAGAGGATCATGGATTTCATCTCCGTTTAAAGCTTTTTCCACTAACTCTTTGCCGACTTGGAGGTACATATCTTGCAAGTCATGGTATCGATGATTTGGAAGTCGGTTTTCATTGTCGCCGCTTGGTTCAGCTGTTCTTCCGTGTCCCGATGTTGAAGGCACCCCTTGCTTGTTCTGTTTTTCGAATGTCTCCTTTTGAATTTTCTTCTTGTCTTCACTCTGCTGGATCAACGCTTGGGAAAAGTCCAACGGATTTTCCATAATCTTCTCCATCTCTTCGGCCAAAGATGTCAGATTTTCGGGTTTGACAATGTAATCAACACCAAAGAGATTGTAGGATCTCACGAAGAAATGTCGCAAGTCTTTGTCTTTCAAAGCTTTTAGCAGGTTTTTGAGGAGCTTCATCATGCACTCGGCTCTTTTGTCCGCGGTCCACATCTCGGCACCAGTCTCCTCTATTGTTTGCAAAAAGAGGTTCTTGAGGTGGAACGACACCAAACCTGCTGGACTGGAAAGATAGGCACGGTGCAATTTCTTCAAACAACGGTAACACTCGCGTTGGATGTCGTTGATCTCTTGGCTTAACAGGTACTCTGCATGAGAAAATGAGATTCTGAAGTCGCACTCGGGAATTTCACTGTACTTTGGAGATTTGACAACCAGGTGGTAACCTTCGTCAATGATCTTAGTCACCATTTTGATGGAAGGCCATTTCCGCTCTCTTTCGATCCAGTCTCGTGCAGACTTCGGCCATCCTCGGGATTTCAGGGCGGGCACAAGATCAATTCCTTTCTTTCGTTTAAAATGGGCTGTGTCATTTTCAGAGGGCTCTTTGACTTCAGTTTCTCTCTCGAGGAAATGGCAGAGAATTTGCTTCTCTAATCTTCCTTCGCTTTCCCTTGAATGATCGTTTCTATCACTTTCAAGTGTTGTCTCCTTTGGTGATCGGCTTTCAATAGCTTTCACTCGGGCTTTAAATTCTTTAACTTTATCGCCCGACGTCACTTCTTGGTGGTAAGCTGGAAAGCCTTCTAAAATATCACGTTTGGTCAGCGACTCCTGTAACTCACTCGTATACTGTACATACTCATCTAGAACTGCGGCATGCTCTCTCGTATATTCAACTCCCCTGGCCCTGCATATCGCACTGACGAACCATTCATACTCAGCGCTGTTCAAACTATGCAGCCGCTTTGTCTCCGTCATGTTTTCAAATTCTCGTTGGAGGGTATCACCCGATTCCATGCAATGAATGGAAAAAGCTGGGCTGGTTTTCTCGTTCTTCCAACTCGCAACAATTGGAAGAAATTGTTCGGGATCATCCTTGGAGAATATTGACAAGCCACGTATAAAATAATCAATCAATTTAGACACTTTGCTTCCATAAATTGCGGGATGGAAGTTCTTCAACGCTGAAGTGGCCAGGTATTCTGTATCTTCTACAAGGCACGACTGCAACACGGGATGATCGCCTGCTCTGATTCTCACATGCAATGGACTTTCCAGTGGATGATCGACCATTTCTTCGTGAATCAAAAGGGCCTCTGAGCTTGGGAACACCATGACGTCCATATCCCCATAATCAT